TGATGATGACGATGATGATGAGGATTGGGATGATGACGGTGCTGATGCAGCTGATGATAATGATGATGTTGGACGGCGGTGATGCTGGCGAGTATGACGATGATGACGACAATGATGATGGTGCTGCTGTCGATGTTGCTGATGCTGTTAGCGAAAACCTAGGCTGCGGCTGCTGCTGCTGCTGATGATGATGATGATGATGATGGTGATGGTGTCATGATGATGGTGGTAATGATGGTGATTATCACCTCATTGTGTTGATGATGATGATGATGATGATGATGATGCCTGGTGTGGAAGGCCATTCCTCCGACTTGGACCAACCCGGCTGCCAAGCTCCAAACCGGAATCCCGGCCTCAAGCTTGGAATTAGAATGCGAAGACCCAACAACGGTCAGTCCTCGCAGCCCGCAACGATATTGCCGGCGAAGACCGGCGGTTTTGCCTGCAGAGCTGCGATTTATGGCAGCATTCTGCACAAACAGGGCTCAATTTGGTAGTGTCTTACAGCGGGTGTCGGCGATGCGAACAGAAGGCCCCCGACATATCGTGGAGGAATCGGGTACACCACAATGTTAAAAGAGATAAAACTTCTCCGACGCTGCAGACCCGACCAGCGTGCCTGAAGCTGGAACACAGACATTGGTTCCTGAGCATATCAGCTACTCTTGCTCGTACTTAACATGTCGAAAATTGTGATAACTGCACTGACGTACCTTCCAGTGAAATCCCGCATTGCAGGCCAGCGTCGTAGGGCAGCCCAAGTGACACCCGTTCCGGTGGCCGCCGTGTGCTAACAGCCTGGATTTTCAGCAAGCTGAACTCCCAAAAACCATCACAGCTACGAGCCCTTAGCCCTGGCAGTGCATTCTTTGGGTCCAGACGACTCGATTTAGATGCTCTCCGAGGTGCAAGATTTTGCAAGATGAACAGGGGTCCCACGTCCATGTCGGCTTTGATGACCGACCCCCTGTTTGCGGCAGCGCAGGTCTCTGAGCTGAGGCTCATTGAGGGAAGGCAGTCTGTTCTGACATGTGCTGCAACGGCGCATCCAGAGCCTCGTCCCAACAAACAAAGCATTGACCGAGTCCATTCCCCAGCTGCCGAGGACTTCAATGGCGCCCATGATGCCTGGCAGCGCATGGAGGTGTGCAGTTTCCTGCAGCCTGCAGGATCAGCAGTGGACGGCATCTGAAATCACGCCAAGGAGGCTATCCGAAAAGGAGAGTCCCTCCAGGTAGGGGCTCGGAAGTCCTCCTTGCAGAGCTTCAAGCTCAGGCTCGTGTGAAAGAACACTAGAAGAAAGAAAAGCTTGCTGTCGCGAGCGCTCTCATGCTTGCAGGTGACTGCTGTGATGGCTGCTTCTTCGATGGATTGCTGCAAAGACGAAAAAGACGATGATTTGCCCCGAAGGTTGTGTGCTGAGTTCAATGACTTCTCGCATCCCCTCCTGCTCCTGCTGCTGTTCCTGTTCCTGCTGCTGCTCCTGCTCGTCACACTCCCACCACTCCGATGCCGATCCCCAGTCCCCCTCACACTCCCACTCCTCCTCCCGCAACTACAGCTACTCAAAGTAATCAGAAAAGAGACGCTACTTGCACTTCTGCGGCCGCTTGGGCTTCTGCTCGGAATTCTGCTTTGAATTACTTCTACTCCCACGTCGATGTCTACATCTAGATATAAACGTAGAAGTCCCAAACATGGACAAGATAGATGATACCACTACCACTACCACTACCACTACCACTTCCACTACCACTACCACTATTACTACTACTACTACTAGTAGTAAAAGCCCTGAGGCGCCTGGGCGTTTAGGTTGCCCGACGCGAAAATGGCAGGACTTGTGCAGACTACTCGCGGGGCTTAAACTTGGAGTTTTAGTGTTTAGTGGTGGTGTTTACTGTGC